AGAAGATCCCTCCACAAATTTAATAAGATCCTTTATGATTTTCTTATTTTACGCTTGCAGTGTTGTAATCTTAAGAGGAACGTTGTTAATGATCTCTTGTTTGAGAGTCTGAATCTTTCTAGTAGAGTTTAATATGCCTTTCTTGAGTTTTTCATTTTCTTCTTGTAAGACTTTACATTTTTCTTTAGATTTTTTTTATACTTAAGAGAAATCATACGAGAGTTTGACAGAAGAGTTTCATAGGACATCTCTTGTTCATTAGAATCATTAGAGGAATAAGAGTTAAAGTCAAATTTTACATCTATCTCTGTATCGTTTGTGTCAATGTTTGTGTCTACATTTTCCATGGGACAAATGTTGGTTTTCTCATTGTTGGAACTACTACTCTTATTGTCCAGATCCTCCCATGTAGCCATCAAAATTTTCTTGGCCTTTTTCTTATTGGTCCATCACTTTCTAAGTGTAAGGAATTCAATCTTCATATGTTCAGGCTTCTTGCACTCATATCAAATGACCTCTTTTCTATCATTCTGGCTAGGTTTCTTGAACCTGACCTTCTTTTTGTGGAAGCTTTTCAATCTTTCCTTTTTCTTAAGAATGTTACTAAACTTTTTAGACATGAGGGATATCCCTTTGTCTATCATGTCTTTAGAACTTTCATTTAAGTTGTTGGAATCAAATTCAACTTTCAAGGCTTTACCTGTTTCTTTGTTCTTGTTGGATTCACCACATCTTAAAGCAACATAATCATTTTCTTTAAGATGGTCTCTATTGTTCAAGTGAACCTGAAGAACTCTTAGAGCTCCTATAATAACTCATCAAGAGTAAGGATCTTGAGATCATGTGCTTCTAATATGGTTATGGCTTTAGGTTCCCAAATCTTAGGAAGACTATTAAAGATCATGAGATTATTCTAAGTTTTAGAAAACACAGTTCCCAGGGATTTTAGCCCATTAAGAATTGTTGGGAATCTTCTAAGCATCTAATTTATGGTTTCATTCTCCTTTATGAAGAATAACTCATAGTGTCTTTGAAAAGTAGGAACTCGTTTGAGTCTGACATCTTTAGTACCCTCATGGGTTATCTTGATGACTTTTGACATTTATTTTGTTGTTTTGTAGCTACAGAACTTGCTATATTCGGTTTGGATAATGAGTAAGCCAAGATGTATTTGGCCTTGGTGTTAAGCTACAATATGTTATAGTCATCCTATGTAAGCCGATTCTCTAGCTTTGTTACAATGACATCTTCTCCTATAGTGATCTTCTAGAGTTGGTATTTGATGGATTTAATGAACATCTCCATTCTATCATTTTAATATGGGTAGTCTTCTCCATCGAAGGCTAGAGGCCTTGTAAAAGAAACTCTTTTGGTAGGTATTGTTGTTTACTACTTGTCATTTTAGAATCTTTTCCTTTGGCACTATTAGATGTTCAACCTTGTGAAAGATTGAACTTTGATACCAAACTATGGAGGAAAGAAAAATACTAAAAATGGGTTGAATAGTGTTATATACTCACTTATCTTTCCTTTTATCTAACAAATATTATAATTCTGAGTCTCTTTATTTAAACTTTTTTTTTCTTATAAAAATGTTTTCTAAAATAAAATAAGCATTTTTTTTATTTGATGTGTTTGTCTGAACTTTTTTTAAATAAACAAATTTCTAATTTTTTTTAAAAATTTTTTATTTGCTTGTTAAAAAAATTATATTTTTAAAATATTTATTTATAAACACTAATTTTTAAGTTTAAACAAACATAACCCATATGATAATTTTCTTCCTCATAAAAAGTAATGTATTTTCACATAATAAATTTGGTGCATTAAGTATTATTGAGTAATAAGTAAGTATATATTTAATGATATATTGATGGAACGGGAAACAAAATTCTACCAAAAAGTATTAGATTAATTTTCATAGGAGTAAATAGGTTAGATTCAAAATTTTTAATTCACACATAAATTTTAGAAAATTTACTACCTTAATTACAAATTTATTAGTTATTATTATTAATTGTTAATTACTAAATTCTTATAAATTTAAAATAATATTAATTATTTTTTCACTTAAACCTTGTTTCTAAATTATTAGTATGTTTTTTTTGGCGTACGCTAAAAAATTACTAGTATAATAGTAACTTATTATAATTGTTTTTTTAAAAAGGTAACTTAATATAATTAATTTTATGTTAAATAAATACATCTTGGTATAAGTATAAGAAAATTTTATATTTATTAAAAAATACATTTCAATTAATGTATAAGTTTATTTGGATAATTATTTTTATAAAAATCTCTAAAAAAACAAAAAAAGACTTAAATATGTTTTTAGTCCTTCAAATTTAAAATAAATTTATTTTAGTCCTTCAAATTAAAATTTGGTTTTTTAAGTCCCTTAAATAAAAAAATTCTATTTTAGTTCTTATACTCAAATTATATTAGAAAATTTGTCAAATACTGTCGCATAAAATCTATCTACTAGTATATTTGTTAGTAAAAATGTGTCTTTAAACCTAGATGATATTACATAATTGTCTCAATTTATCACTTTTAAATATATTGTTAATAACGTGATGGACTAAAACAACATTTTTGAAAATTATAGGGACTAAAAATAAATTTTAAATTTAAATAAATAAAAAAAATTATGCTAAATTTGAGGGATTAAAAACATATTTAAGCAAATTTTTTTTTCTAAAAACTAAAATTAGGTTATTTATAAAGTAATGAATAAATTCCTCTTATGTATTATTACTATTAATTTAACTATTGCACCTATTTTACTTGTAGGGATGACAAAAATACCCGCACCCGCGGGTATCTGTAGGTAAAATCTGTTAGAATAATAAATGGATAGGCTAATTGGGTACTCACGGATAATGGGGACGAATAATTTTTTACCCGTTTATAAATGGGGCGGGGACGGGTATGATAATATCCATACCCGCGGTTACCCGTTTAATAATATTTATTAAATATCCTAATTATCTTTGTACCACATAACCCTAAAACTACACTCTCTTATTTTATTTTCTTTCCATAGAATTATGTTGGATGTAATTTGATTAATTTTCTAGCTTTGATTGGACTAATAAGATTTATATATTTTAAGTTGTTTACTGTCGTTTGGAATTATGTGATTGAATTACTGTAGCTTTGTGATATGAGACTTTCACTTACTTGTGTGAGATTGATGTATTTTAAGTTATTGATTATCTTGTATTTTTATTATTATTTTAACAAAATTAACGTTAAATACAAGTTTAAAATTAACATTGAATTTTTATTTTTAATATTTCAATGACATTAAATATAAACTTAAAATTATTTGTAATATAATTTTTTAATTTTTAAAAAAATTTATAAATATCCATGGATATCCGTGGGTATTCAAGAAATTCATGGATATCCGCGTGGATATGGGGTAGGTATGGGGCCAATTTTCATTCAGCGGGTCGAGGACGGGTTTACTATTACCGCCCCCATGGGACCCCATTGCCATCCCTACTTACTTGTATAAATTTAGTTTAATTATGTTTTTTTTCTCTCAAATTTAAAATTTTTGTTTTTCAATTCCTATAATTTAAAAAAAAAATAAATTTATAGTGTATGTATATATTTTTTTGTCCACATCAAACTTAAAATTTATGTTTTAAGTCCTCTAAATATAAAAAGTATTATTTTTAGTTCATCAAACTAAAATTTGTTATTTTAGTCTGTGTAATTTCAAAAAAAAAACTATTGTTTTAGTCTCTCATAATCACTAATAACATAATTGATAGTGACAAATTATGACAATTATGTAATATTAATTAATCTAATGTAATTTTTTACCAACAATGATACTAGTAATAACATAATTAACAGTGACATATTAAGATAGCTTCATAGTCACTGAGAATGACATTAATAAAAGAATTATGTGCGACAGATTAATTAATGACATTTGAATAAAGAGACTAAAATATTATTATTATTATTATATTTTGGGGCTAAAAATATTTTTAAGTTTGAATGACCAAAAGGATATATGCATAGACTAAAACAATATTCTTTTTTTTTTTTTTAAATCACAGGGACTAGAAAGATAAAATTTGAATTTGAGGGACCAAAATAATTTTTATATATATTTTTTAGGGATTAAAAACACATTTTAAATTTTAGGGAAAAAAAATACATACTTCAAATTTGAAGGTCTAAAGACAAAATTAAATCTAATTTTTACTATTCAAAGTCATTTGAAAAAAAAAATTAACTACCAAAGAGATAAAAATCAAATTAAAAATAAGGTTAAAATACTCTTTTATTTTTATAATTTCAGTTATTTTACCTTTTAATTCTTAAAGTTTAAAATAATTTTTTTTTAATTTCTATACATATCTTTTTTAATTTTTAATTCATATAATTTAAAATAGATCTTTTTTTACTTTGTATACTTTAATTTTTTTAATCATTTTAATTTTTATTATTATTATTTTTTAACATTGTCTCTTATATGTTGACGTGATAAATCTATTAATTCATGTATGATTTTAAATTTATTTTATTGTTATTCTAAATTAGGTTTCGAGGTTTTGTATATCTTTTATACTTTCTTCTACGATACCAATTGTTTAGACTTTTTTTTTTCATTTTGACAAAATTGAAAATATCTACTATATTAACAAAAAACTAAATAATACTACAAAAAAAATAACGATATAAAATAAAAAATTTAGTAATTATAAATATAAAACTAAAAAAGATCTATATTAAACTATAAAAATTAAAAATAATTACAAAAAATAAATATAAAACTAAAAACAAGTTGTTTTAAGTTATAAGAATTAAAATACAAAGTAAATGAATTTATGTTTTAATCTAAAAATAAATACAAAATTTATTTTAGAGAGAGGGAAAGAAAAACAAAACATTCAAATCTTTTGGAGAGTGACAAGGACACCTCAGTTCAGAAGCGCGTCCAAGTTCTCTTCATGTAAGAACGTGGACCCTCCTTCTCTCTCTCTTTCTCTCTCCTCAAACGCTCTCTCCTCCCACGAAACAACGGCGCTATACTCTTTCCTTTTATGGTTTTGTGGTTTCTCAATTCATTCCCAACAAAACCACATTACACATACCTTAGAAAACTGCACACATCACACTTGACATGACGCAACTCTTATCTCTCCACTTTCTCTCTCTTACCGAACACTACACAGCACTACTACAAATACAATGGTACCTCAACATCCCCAACAAGTACAAAAACGCCACTTCCATCATTTTTCTCCATCTGGGTGTCTCTTAGTTGTGTTTTTTTCCATGTCTTACCCTTACTTGTCACACACAACAACACACCCACTTACTTACTCACCGGATTACAAGGCACGAGGTAAAGCAAGGTGTTTTTTCTTTTTACTTCAATGTTGGGATTTGTTGTTGCATGCTAAAGTGGGTTTCTTTTCCTTTCTTTGCGTTCTTCCCAATGATGGGTGGGGGGTTGCACTTGCTTAATCAATGCATAAAAAAATGAGGGGTGGCAGGATGTTTGGAAAGTTGGCCAGATTAATTGGAAGGGTTAATGGCTATTATTAGTAATGTCTTTAATCAGGATAATATGATTGTTAATTAAGATCTGATCAAGGTTGGATTTGGATTATATATATGATTGTAATCTCAGTTTTGTTTATTTTAAAAAGAACTATTGGGTTGTGTTTCTGCAGATACTTTATTTTTTAAAAAATTTGGTCTGCATTACTGTGTCTTTGGTTTGTTATTTAATTTTATTGAGTGAAAGTTGTTGAACTATGATTTTTTTTCTTCTGTTTTTTAATTTGTGCGTGCGTTGAGGAGAGGGGGTTCTTGTCACAGCTTTGTTTATTTATTTTTATTTTCATTCCTTGTATATACATAAAATAAAATATAATTTGGTTGATGAAAATGTCCTCTTTACCGTTTGCGCTGTGTTATTTACAGATTCATGCCACTCACTCCAAAGGTTAAAACTTTACACAAATTCCTACAACTTTTTCTTTCTATTTATTATTTTTGTCTTTTTGGATCTCTTTTTCTGTACTTTGGATCTTACTAAGTTAATAATTTTTTGTTTTTTTGCTGAACTTTGTTATGTTATGGCAGGACATGATAATTGAAGAAGCAACATTGTTAGAGGTAGAAATTGTTGATACCCTTGTTTTTGAGTTCCTTGTTCACTTGGTGTGAGGTAGATGGATTGAAGAAGCAACCACATTGGATCAATGTTAAAGGCAGTGTCATTTGAAGTGTTGTTGATTTGGTTGCTCCTCCTCACATGTGTGTTTGCAGCAGAAAGATGTAACTGTGATGATGAGTCCAGCTTGTGGACTATTGACGCCATTGTGGAGAGCCAGAGAGTTGGTGATTTTCTGATTGCTGTGGCCTACTTCTCCATCCCCATTGAGCTGCTTTTCTTTGTTAGTTGCTCAAGCGTTCCATTCAAATGGGTTCTCTTTCAGTTCATTGCTTTCATTGTACTATGTGGAATGACACATTTGCTGAATGGGTGGACTTATGGTCCCCACACTTTTCAACTCATGGTGGCAGTTACTGTCTTCAAAATTCTCACTGCCTTGGTATCATGTGCCACTTCCATAACCCTCTTAACCTTGATCCCTATGTTGTTGAAAGTGAAGGTTAGAGAGTTGATGCTGAAGAAAAAAACCTTTGATCTTGGGAGGGAGTTTGGAATCATAATGAGACAAAAGGAGGCTACAACGCACGTGAGAATGCTGACTCAAGAGATTCGCAAGTCGTTGGACAAGCATAAGATTCTGTACACCACTTTGGTTGAGCTGTCTGAGGCACTTGGTTTGCAAAACTGTGCAGTGTGGATGCCAAATATTGAGAAAACTGAGGTGATCCTTACACATGAATTGAATGGGAGGAATGGTAACTGTTCTCTACCCATAACGGATGCAGATGTTGTGAGAATTAAGGGAAGTAATGAAGTAATCATAATTGATTCTGATTCAGTACTTGCCACTGCCAGTTGTGGAGCTTCTGGTGAGGCAGGACCAGTTGCTGCAATCCGAATGCCAATGCTTCGGTTTTGCAATTTCAAAGGGGGGACGCCAGAGCTAAGGCAGACATGTTATGCCATATTGGTTTTGATTCTTCCTTGCAACGATCTGAGATCATGGAGTTTTCAAGAGCTAGAGATTATTAAAGTGGTTGCTGATCAGGTGGCCGTGGCTCTATCTCATGCTGCGATCATTGAAGAGTCCCAGCTCATGAGGGACAAGTTGTTGGAGCAAAATCTAGCTTTGCAAGCAGAGAAGACTAATGCTATGATGGCCAGCCAGGCAAGAGCTAAATTTCAGAAGGTCATGAGTGATGGGATGAGAAGGCCAATGCACTCAATTTTGATGTTGCTTTCGATGTTACAAAGTGAGAATTTAGAGAATGAGCAGAAGCTTATTGTGGATTCAATGCTGAAGACCAGCAATGTGTTGTCAAACTTGATAAATGATGCAATGGACCACTCACCAATGGATGATGGAAGATTTAATATGGAGATGAAGCCTTTTGGGTTGCATGCCATGATAAAGGAGGCAGCTTGTCTTGCCAAGTTCATGTCTGTTTATAGGAGCTTTGGTTTTGTGGCTGATGTTGACAAGTCTTTGCCAGACAATGTTGTAGGTGATGAAAAGAGGGTTTTTCAGGTGATTTTGCACATGATTGGGAATGCAATAAATGGAAACCATGGTGGAGGAGTTCTTGTATTTCGAGTTTTTGCCGAAACTGGAAATCAAGGAAGGGATGACCAGGGTTGGAACACCTGGAGACCAAGCTCTTCTAGTGGTGATGTAAATATTAGATTTGAGATAGGGATCAATGCCGGTGATCCTGAATCAGTGAGCTCAGTTCCTTTGGGGCAGTTTGTGGGAGCGAAGCCCTCCGGTGATTGGATTGGGGGAAGACTGAACTTTAACATTTGCAAGAGGATAATCCAGGTGAATTTAGTAACATTGATCGTGCATGCAGCTAGTAAAGGTCATTAAGATGCTGTTTTTAATGGATATTCATGTACTTTAAAAAATGTTGGTACAAGACTATTTTCTGCATTGCTTAACCAGTTAATTTTGTTTATGCTAGCCTTCAAATGATTCACCTAGATAGACATTTACAATTTTATACGTGTAAGAAAAATTGTTCATCCCTTGTTGATTTACTTTGTTATGTGTTTGTTTACCTTCATTAGCAGATGGTGAAAACTGTGAAAATCTTATTCTAGATAGGTCTTATTTATAGATTTTGTTAGCTTATTTGGCCAACCATTTTTTAATGTCAGTGGAGGGATATTTACTGATTTTTCTAAATTTGTTTTAGATCCTTTGAATGCCAATGATTAATACACTACATTTATAGTTGGAACTATGAAAGTATTAGTTTCTATGTTCTTTAATTTTTCTTTTCTCTCCATTGATCTTATACTTTGTTTCTGTCCACTATGTTACTGCAGCTGATGCAGGGGAACATATGGTTAGTACCAAATGCTCAAGGTTTTCCTCAAGTCATGGCCCTTTTTCTTCGGTTTCAATTGCGCCAATCTTTTGCCGTAGCCATTTCTGAACCTGGGGAAAATTCAGAACCATCCAATTCAAATTCATTCTTCAGAGGTCTGCAAGTGTTGTTGGTCGACAACATCGATATACATAGAGCAGTGACTCAAAGGTTGCTTCATAAACTAGGTTGTGTTGTGACTACAGTGTCTTCAGGATATGAATGCCTTAATGTTATTGGACATGGTGGATCTTCCTTTCAAGTCATTCTTTTGGATCTTCACATGCCTGAGCTCGATGGATTCGAAGTTGCAACAAGGATTCGCAAGTTTGGAAGCCGAAATTGGCCTATGATCCTCGGCTTGACTTCTTCAAGCATAGAAGATTTAAAGGAAAGATGCGTGCAGATTGGCATAAATGGACTCATAAGAAAGCCAGTTTTGTTGCATGGAATTGCAAGTGAACTCAGAAGAATCCTAATGCAGGGAGATGGTGTCATGTGATTTGAGGATTCATGCTGCTAGTTTAAGCACTTGCAACATATCAAGAAATTATTGAGTTACAAAAAATTTAGTCACATTCTTGATAGAATAGAAGTATTTGGCTCCCATTTCCCATCAATATTTTCAACTTTGAGAGATAATGCATGATACCCCAACTTTCAATAGGAAAATTAAATGGTATACAAATGAAATCCTTCATTTCTCTCAATTTGTTTCATTTTGCTATGCATCTCATGACACATTCATGTAATCAGAAATCGGAAACAAAAAAAAAAAAATTGATTAAATAAAATGGCAAGCATAAGAGGATTAGACCCTTGGGGCTACATCAAAGTTGTACTTTGATGAAGAACCTTTGCAGTGCTTTAGCCAACCATTTGTACATTTTCTCAACATATACTTTTATTTAAGTTTTTTTTCTCTTGAATTTTAACTTTTAAATGAAGGATTTTTATTTACTGTTAACTGTTTTATCGATTAATTAATCTACAACAATGTTTACTTTGTGGATTGAATTCAAGTATGAGATAATAACTGATACATGAATAGAACGGAACTGGTGTATGAACTGTTGAGCCAACTAAACAAAATGACTGACGCATTTTATTCATATAGTCGGAAAGTAATTTAAAATAAACTGAAGATATTTTCCATTTGATATATGGTATCATAATTCAAAATGTAAAAGTAAATTTTAAATCAAATGATATTTGTAAGTAATTAACAAAATAAAACTTGATGCATTAGAAGTCATGTTACTTGACGAAAAAAAAAAAATCCGAAAACTGTTGTTATTTTTAGAGTATATTTATGTTTTCACAGTTGCTTCCAACATTTTGGATCACAAAATGTTCTTGCATCGCATCCTATATATTGCTTTGATTGTTGTCTTGATAAAGAAATCCACTTTGTATCAAATTGGTTTGGACTAGGGTTCTATATTTTGCGAGGAAAATTGATTTTGGCCCCAATATTAATTGTGCAGCCAGCTAATTAAGATTCAATCCAAACGTTGTTAGTTATATTTCTTTGGATATATTTGCTTGCTGATATTTTTGACATAATGAGATTTATTTTTAATGTATAACTAAATTTATAAAACAAAACAAGCTTAATCTAGTTAGCATTGGGGTGGGGAAGAATTAAAAATAATGATTCTATATTCGGGTAGTATAAGCAATTATTTTTGGACACTTCAACTTTTCTATGTTAACTATCTCTTCTCCACTTCTGGGTGTTTGTTAGCATTGATCATTAGGAATTATGCTCCTTTAATAATTCACATCACTCATTTACGATTTATATTTCATACTTGCAGCTTGTACTTTCATTTTCAAATTTTTAAAAAATCACAATATTGTGTATTTTAGTATTAAAAAATAGGGTTTGTATTAAAAAAAAAAAAAGGTTTTTAATTTTGACAGTGTTTGGGAATCATCTGTTCTAAAGAGATGAGAGTACTTGGCAAGTTGGAATGGTTCCTATGTACTTATAAAATCACCAAGAAGTTGCGTATTAGACCATCCTATGCAAATTGCAAACCTGTTCTTAATTAGCTTTTAATTCAAAATTTCACATACTTCTCTGTCAGAAAGTTACTAAACCTTATAATCAATTAGAGATAAGATTGTCCATTCTATTTAAAATATTCAATTATGGTAGCATATAAAAGGTTCCCTTTGTAAAAGTTTCATTATTTGTGGCATTTTATAGTGGACGAGAAATAAAGAATTTTAAATTTGCCCATTAACAACCTTCTTTCCGGTACATGAAATTACACTTCGAAGTGTGAATTTGTTCAATCCTTCATAGCTATACCCTAAATTGGAATATATATATATATAT